CGGTTGTCGTTGTTGAGGATTTTTTGAAAAAGATTTATCACAGCCTCGTAGTTGTGACGTGTAGCTAATTTACTAAATTGTATATATTAATTTATCGTGTATTCAATAATATCCAGTAGATGACATTAAATCGGCTGAAAGGAAAGTTCCTATTCAAATAACATTTATGATATTTAAATGTTAAGGATGGGAACCCTAATCCGACTACATTTTAGTGTGCGAACACGTTTATGTGTGCGTTATATGGAAATCGTTCGTTTTCATTCATTTTAGCGGGACTTTAGTACAAGGTCTTATGTGGCGATTGGCTACTTTATTATAGAGTCTGTTACCGTAAAGGCAAGGAATTTGCGTTGGTGGCGACACGTGGTTGGCATAATGAACAGATCAACAAGAAGATAACAATGTAATGCTTATAGTTTATATGAGAATTGTCTAGATTTATACAAATACTTTATTTCTGAACTTAAATATTGGGAGCTTTTATTTGAACATGAATTATCCTCCTGTTAGAAAGAAAACATCTTCACATCATATTTATATTAAGGGTTATACAATCAAGTGGCTGGCAAGTGGGTGGCTTGTTGTATCAACATCACTTGTTATTTCGACACTGTAGAACCTGTGTATTTCGATGTTACGACATGATGATATTCGTTGACATGATTCAAATTGCTTCTTCAAACAATATTTATAAGCAACTTTTACATGTGACTCCGTGGGCATTGAAAACCTTAGATCAATGAAACCTTTTGACATTGTCAAAAGTGTCCTCCTTTATGTGAAGGGACATCTTTTTTTATACTGAGGGGAACTGACCTTAACATGCCGTCGACCCGGGCGAGAGGCCGACTGAACCCGGGCTCTCCCAAGGGACGGCGGTCCATCGCAGTGGGCCTACCGTGCAAAACCCTCCGGACTACCCTTTTGCTTAGTCCGGGTACCTTAAAATAAGTCCCAGATAGATCCGGACCGTGGGGGCCAAAGTCCTCCCTCTGCGGTCAGGAGGTTTCCGTCAGGTCAGGAGGCGGTCAGGACCGTGCCAGGGCCTTTTATGGTCCTACCACAGCCCGCCGCGCCCCCACCACGCCGCCACCGGGCCCGACCATCGAATTCGACCCAGCGGCGCCGAGGGCGCATGTCAAGGGACACCTAGGAATTATATGACAAGGTTGAAAGTCTATGACACTCAACTATGATATAATACTCAACATTGCATATTCGAAGGATAATCTGTATACTAACGTTTCCGTAAGACGTTTGATGAATTTCCCGTCAGATTTGCGCCGACTCCTACTCATAATATGTGTCAAATTTCATACAAAAACAATTCAGTCGTTCCACAGTAATTATATAACGAACGAACACCTACACTTAGGCATTCTATACATATTGGATAATATCACATACTAATGGTGATTCCGAGCCAAGGTTGGTGTGATTATCAATTGGATCAATTCGTACCTAATACCATTTGTATTTTAGATATAATTGGGTATGAAGTCTTTTGAATCTTAACTTTGGTCCTAAATACAAAAAAAGTAAAACGTCACAAAGTAAATGCGTACGTTAATGAGATTGATAAGGATAGGATGCAATCAAAAAGTATTTTTAATTAATTACTCTTCATTGGAAGTTATTTCTATGTACAAAGTTATTAATATACACCCCCTTTTAATTCATCTCAAACAAAATGTTCGTTTATTAGTTTTACTACAAGTAAAGTTGGTAGCCTTTAATACAATAAAAATAAGAGTGTTTATAATAGTTATTAGACAGTTCTATTAATCATTTATTGGTGAAAGTAAAAGTCAGTTGTGTTTCATTTATTAATTTTTATAGTATTGGAAAGTTCACGCGCACCAGAATGAAATATAATTATTCAGTTTAAAATTAAATGGAGTCTACTTTGATGGTGGTTTAGATAGCGTATGTTTACCATAGATAGAAGCAATATAACAGGCTTTAAAATTATAGCAATAGAAGAAATATGCAATAGAACAAATGCAGCCGGGACCAACGGCTTAACGTGCCTTCCGAAGCACGGAGTAGCTCGAGATACTAATTTTTTGGTCACCCATCCCATGACCGACCCTTGCGAAAGTTGCTTAACGGCAACGATCGCGGGCCGCGGCGCTCATCCACTACGCCACCGAGCTACTTTATATAAAGTTCGAAAGTAAAGAGTTCATTTCTAATAGAGATATTCGATTTTGAGGTCAGTAAAAACCTATATAGTATAAAGTTCGAAAGTAAAGAGTTCATTTCTAATAGAGATATTCGATTTTGAGGTCAGTATTAAAAACAAGATTTAATTAAAATATTTATTCGTCAACAAAATGAATCACGAGTAAGCAAAATTACTTGATTCTTCACCTAAATTAATTATTACTTGAGAGTCTATTGTACTGTCTATTAAAATAATTATATTTATTTAATCTAATAAATAAAAAAAGAAAAAACAATAATAATAATTTTTATGATATTATTTATTATTTTAATATTAAGGCACAATTACAGCATAGCAAACATACAAATATAATAACAGGTCTTACAATAATTTATTATTTAGGTATATTTGGGCTCGATAACAATTGTGCATAAACATTTGCTATAAACTAATTGGTTAATATTTTTAAATACAAATCAAACAGCATAAAATAACCAATTAGGAACTAATTATTAACTTCTCTTTCTTGTCTGAAAATTAGTAGGTATCTATTTATGTATTTATGTAGGTGTCCCTTACTTTTCGGGTTTTCTTGTTCCTCACGTTGAGATTGATGCGCCTAGAAAGAAGCTTTAGAAGTAGTCCATAAGAAAGAGAATGGATTTAGACCCATCAACTTCGTTTACAATGCTGAGTTTCTGCTTGGAATTGCATGTTCAACTTTATTCGGGTTTAATCGCCTCCGATTTATTTTGGTCAACAAGCATTAGTATTGATGCTCACTTTTCTTTTCCGAAAATAATTAATGACTATTTTGATATGGACGTAGAAATCAGCTGTTAAACGAATGAAACAATTACATACCGCAAAAATATATTTCATTATTGCAACCTTAGTTCCAAGTAAGGCGTGCTATGGTGGTGGTATAGTATACCTATTTCTAGCAACCCATCCATAGGAGTGGCCTTGCGATAGTTCTTATCTTGTGTTTATAGACCAAACGTGTTAACTACTTACCCTGCTTAGCCAAGGAAATATTCATTGCCTTTCAAGATTGTTGATAGGCTTTTGAATGTTACTCGGTGTGCAAAGGTGTTTGTATTTGCACGCTATATGGTATTTCTGCAGCATTTTAAAATCTAAACATATACCTATGTCAGTTTTGCTGCATGTTAATATCGTTATTGAATAAAAGGTACCTACTTAGAACATTTTTTTGTTAACGCAGGGGAAATGAACCTTTAACCTCAATACAGGGCTTTGCGACACGGATCGGGACTTGTCCCGATAGGAACAAAATTACTCTTACGTTATACATATTCTATCTAAGAGGAAAAACATTTCAATAAAATAAGTAATAAGTATGTAAGCGTAAATTTAAATTATATATTGGAAGTCACGCTCGCGTAATATCCCCATTGTGTCGAGTGACATTAGTATCATGTTACTTTTTTTTACCAACCGGTTCAGCAATAAAAAAGGTTTAATCCACGATTATAGCAAGGTCGCTTGATACAGGTTTGTTAACGGTCAACGCGTGCGCATCTATGCCCGCGCGCAAGGACGTCCGCCCGCCTTCATGGAAAATGGAGGCCTTGGATACTGGTTTCGATCTATGGAGTACGCCTCTTTATCTAAACTAAAACAACACAGACTCCATTCCATGTGATATTAGAGGTAGATTAGATGCTAGCCTGTTTATATGTTAGATATATTAGTCATATGGTTAACGTTTTTGAAAATTATTTAAAGGTTTTCATAGCGATTAGCGGCTGTTCCTGCCATTGCTAAAGTTTTGCAAAGGTTGGTTTGGATGGGTGACCCTATTTGTTTTTAAAATTTTAACACCTGACGTTTCTCTGTACTTTAGTAAGAAGTGTTTCGCTAAGCCATTGTTCATGACCGCATCTTCAGTCGCTACTCTAGCAATCATTGATCTGCATTAGGTTTGCGTAATCGGATGAGGCCCGTTCGTAATATTGGGCAGGTCTGTGCCCCAGGCAGTAGGGAAATTAATTTGCTAATAATTGATTACAATTAGATTTTTTATTATTACAATTTGAATAGGACAGCTTATCTATCAATGTATTCAACACTAATTTTCATACCGCCTCCCGTATCTGTGTTATTGAAGTTTTAGTTAACTCGAGGCTGTTCAATATTTGCTTAGGAAACCTTGTTTGCGTAAAGATAAGAGTATGAACGTAAGTAGATGCGTAATGTTTTGATAGTAAGAAGGTTTCATTATTTTTTTCCCATTACGTACTATTATTGGATAATAGAGTGTCGTAAAGTTTTAACAGATTCTCATCGCAAAAAGAATTATCATCTTGAACAAAAACATGAAAGTCACATCGTGAATATTCAGACAATATGTGACAAACGGTCAGTTGCACAAACATTCATTAGAGTTTAATGACATCTGTAAGCTCTAATGAATGTCTAATTTGTATTGGTAATGTGGCTTTAAACTGATGCCAATTTTAATGGACGTTTGTACAACTGGCCGTTAAACCTATTAATTAGCGAACTGCTCATTAAGAAATTAATGGATCAAAGTGCGGACCCAAAGCGTTGATAAATTGCTCTTATAAATATGGGTATGTTTTGAGGTGAGAGAATATCTACGTGTAGTGTGTTTATATTTCCCACTTATTCTTGTAATTCAAACTTCAGTAATGTTATTAATATTAGGACGTCAGAAAGAATATTTTAGTTTTCCATGAGGTGTTGTAATTTATTTTTCCGGACGCGACAGTACCGACGCTTTATGTTTTTTGGTAAGGTAATGAATATTATGTATTTTGATCCGTATCATCTATTGTTACAGATCAAATTGGAGAGCGTGCTTGGGTTGACGGTGGGCAGCAACGCAGCTCTAGATTGTGATCCTAATACAGAACTAGTCGCATATCCAGCAGGGTGAGTAACAGTTTAGTCATAGTGATCTTATTGGAATTTCAGATGTTATCTTGTGAAAGTCTAACAGTGCTCCTTTCGCAAAAGAGATATGGCAAATAGTATCACCTGTATGTAAGTCTACAGTAGAAGGGTAATAAATGATAAAGCATGTTTTTTACCCTCTTTTAGGGGAATACTCGAGATCCTTACAACCGCTTAGCTTCAAACGGAGTGTTGAAGTTGGGATAGACATTGAAAACATATTTATGGGAAATATTTTATTATTTCAAAGTATATAATGCATTGCACTGTACATTAGCATCTCATAGCAAAATGCTTCATGTTTATGATGTATCGAATACTTTTTTCATAGGTATTGAAACAGATTCTTAGAATGAAATAAATATGAGAGAAGGGCTAACTCTTCGAAGGCTCTGATGCGTACTATTACTGTTTTCTTGCTGCCTTCGACACGTTAATTTATGACTCTTCACCCATGCATTTAGTTTGTCTTCGTTTATTCATAACGATATTCATTATGAATGTTAAATGAATGCCGATCGGAAGCTTATGTAACAATGGCTGCTGAGGTCGTTCACCCCGGTCATATGGTCGCAATTCATTAGTTGACCGTCAACTGAATGACTGTTGCGGTTCACTTGGCGCGTCGTCTTTTAGCAACAGACGGATCACGGGCGATAGCCACTATTGAAGCAATTCACTGAAGCTGGTTTTAAACATTATGTGGCTACATTTCGTGGTCGGTTGAACGCAGGATACGAGGAATCGAACAGAAGCTTTCTTTTTATTTGAAATACCCGTTTCCAGTCTCGCTTAAATATAGACCTTTAAAGCAGAACAGCAGAGAGATGTGAAAATAAAGGAAAGTTTATAGGTTAATTAACACTGCCTCGCCTGAATGAGTAACATCCTTAAATAGTATCAAGACAGACAATTATTTAAGGGAACATAATGTATATATCTGTACACCATTTCAGGTGGTATATAGGGATTGTACAAAACAACACATTAGTGTAAAATGACATGTAACTCCTCTCTCAACTATTGATAATAGTTTCTTGTTTCGTGAATTTTCAGTAGCAGTGCTTAAGTTTTCGAACTTGCATTTTTTTATATTCAAATCCAACTTACTGATGCCCTTTGTACTTCCGCATTTATAAAATTAGTGAGTTTTTAGTGATGGTTGCCTCATCGTTTCGTGTTCCCCAGTAATAACATGGGGTTCTTGTATGGTCATCGACCGCCGCACCTTGCAGGAGCGCACCCCATAATCGATATTTTTTTAAATTCGATGGGGGTGTTTTTAGAACATGTTGGCCCGTCGATTAGCAAACTACTAGAAACTTTTATTTGGAACTACTTCATATATCTTGATCACCGAACAGCCCTCGTCCTTGTCTATTTATTTGCGGTTGACGCATTGAGTATCTTCGTCTGATACTCAATGCGTCAACTTGTAATTCACACTTTTCTTACATATATCATCTTTCACGCAGTCTATCCATCTTTTCTTGAGTCTTCACCTCCGTGCTAATGCAATCCATATCGAGTACTTTAAATTAAATTAAGTCTTAGTTCCCTTCCGAAGGTCTGCACAAAATAAATACAAAAAATGCGTTTTTGTTTGATAACAATTTGATTCACTCTCGATAAAATTTTCTTCAATGGGTATACGAAACTTATTATTATAAAATAATATATTTCGTGCAAGTTTGCTTTGGTGATAAGTAATGTATGGAATCTATGCTCAAATATTAGCCAAGCGTGGATTATTAAAGTAACAAGAAGAGTGTGGGCTCAAAAGACGATATAGTTTTAATAGACTAAAGTCCAACATTTTATATAATATGTTTATTTTTTGTTTTTGCTGTTATTGTTTGATCGCACATGTATTAATACAAGGGTAGTGGGTTCGATTACGGCGTACCGGGTAAAAGTTTTTGGAACCGGTATTATAACGATTCTGGGGGCTGATAGTAACGAGAACTGTTGTCGTTAGGGTATTAGTAGACGGTGTCTGTTGGTAACGGTAGACAAAAGTTTATTGGCTGAGGTCGTCGACATTGTTCACTTACGTCACATCCGTTTCCTCTACCCGAATGAACTGTCTTGAATCATAAATTGTTATTCGGCTTTTGCTTAAAAAAAATGTACTCATCTGATGTTCTTGACAAATATCGTATTAGTCGGTAACAATAAGAGAAGCGACAAAAAAGGAAAGTGTTCCCACTTTATTAAAACATGATTATTATAAAACAAAGTTTCTTCGCCAAATCAGTTTGTGTATCTGAATGCCATAACAAATTCTAAAAGCCGATCTTAATGATTTAACAAAATATGCGTTTACTTGTACTCAACCTATATTGTTGTATGTCTATTACAAATAACCGGTCTAGTGTACCTAGTATTTGTAATTGGGTGTCCAATAAAAAAATCAAAATTATTTATTCAGTCTAGGCTGTTACAAGCACTTGTGAAAGTTGAGACCGAGAGATACTGTCTCTTATTGAATATTAATAGTGTTATGTTTTTTAAACCTCGAATGGGCATTCTTTCTGCGGCCCCACTTTTATGTTTCTTGATTAGTCAAAACCTCTTCAAGAATTGTTGTTTAATTAAATAGTTTGAGACTTTTTTACATGGTGTACTCGTCAATGTCTTGCTATTTGACACGTTGGTGTAACACTATGGTATGTGCTGGGCCGTGAGAGAGGCCGTCCCGTTGTTCCCAGTGGGCATACTAATAAACATTAGGAGAGAATACACGGTCATAGGAGAAGCGGGGGCGGATACTTGTCATAGCACGTAAAAATGTTTTTTAGTAAAATTCCCCATTTTTGCGATTACGATTACATATCACGAAGTATGGTATATTAGATAGTACTTTTTTACAATTTAATTTTGGGTGCATTACTAGATTATGCGTCGCGTAGATAATACTTTTAAGCCGCTGACGATATTTTTCGTCTGTGCGTTGACATTTTCAATTCTATAGGCTAATTACTAAGTATCTGCAGTATTAAGTGAAAAGTTCAGTCTAGATAAATACAACTCTTCTTTTTCTTTTTAATAGTTTTTTTGTTCTATTGATAATGATGAATGACTTCTACGGTGGAACGAGCTTGCCCAGAAGAAGCCTATTCACTTTCGCCCTGAATAGATTTGGGTTGAATGTTCTCTGGGATATAGACGCCGGCAGCGATTATAAAAACAGGACGAAATCGCTTCTATCAGTTGTTGTCTACATGGTGGTACAATCGCTTTGCGTATCGATATGACACTTCCCGAACACTATATAGCACTTTTGTCAATATACGCTAGCGTCATGACCACCGCTAGGTGTTTTATTCATGATCCACGTATGGTAATGCTTAAAGAATTGTAAAGCGAACGTTAATCATACTTACAGCTTAAAGTTTTTGTTTAAATAATAGAAGACTTGTCTCATCGTGTACTGAAAAAGATGTAATATTATGGCGACTTCTTGGCTCAAAAGTGATAATTTGCGCCAGTGTGCTGAAATGTTTGACAGTTGGCATATGCTATTAATCATGAAAAAAACCGTATCTTAATAGCGCGCGTGTAAATATAAGAAACAAGTACGTTAACATTATTTCTCACACATACTATCTTTTTTGAAGCCTCCTTAAAAATTCGTCGCTATACAAGTAATAGTTTCCTATTGATAGCTTTTAAGTTTTAAATTATTAGATCGAGTGTTGCATGAACGTTGATTAAATAATAATTAATCCATTTATTTAGGACAAATCAAATACAAAAAACAGAAGCAATACAATTTGATATGTTCACTATCAACTCTAGTGGTCCTATAAAAAAATGAGTATATTGATTTCCATTTTCAGATGCACCGTGGTACTTTACAACGTGCGCAAGAACAGGCAGACGCACGTGTTGAATGCATCCAGGAAGAGTGTGACATGCGTCGCCTTCTCACCGGATGGAAGGTACCTCGCGAGCGGGGAGTGCGGACATGCACCAGCCGTTCGAGTTTGGGATCTACAGGTGGGAATTTTGTTCTTCCATATTTTAAAAAGTCCAACGTCATAGTCATTTCTTTTTCGTCAATATAATACGTTGGTTTGTTTTTAATTCATTTATTAATGAAAATTAAAAAAAAACCAATAAATTATGTTGGTCGAGTGATTTGCACTACCCGTCGTCGGTTTTATGGTGAAACAGTCTCCAGAGATCCCGATTCCTGGCTAGCTCAATGTAGTAATTTATACTGTTCCGAGTGGATAGTTACCTAAATTTTCTGAGCAAGTATATTGGAAAATACTCTAAAAACTGTCGCGGACGGAGTTCGAATCTGCGTTATTGGTTCTTATGCGATATGTGCCTAAAATGTGCTCACAGAAACGAAAGAACTTACAGGCATTTGAGAAATTCAACAGACTCGTTAAATTAAAGGCTCATTGATTTTCCTTCGTTTTGACGCATGATGGCTCCAGTTTACGTATTTATTTTTTTACATATCAAGAATGTAGGTTAAGTCAGCACAAGTAGCGCCATCTACCGTGTGATAGCGGTACTGACCATTATGTCTTACATTTTATGGGCTATTTTTAATATATGAAATAACTGTTATGTATTGGTATTTTTGAATTTTTCATTTGGATTCGGAACATATTATTAAATGCTGGCTTTTATATTTTATTATTATAATTTCAGGATCCGACGGCTTCAGGTGCGGTGCAAATAGCAGAATTCCCTGGTCACACTCATGGCGTTAGCTGTGTGGTGAGTAACAGTCTAATTAAATACTGATACCATTTTGTGTAGGTGATAAAATAATCGTTGGAGCGCTTAATGTAAAAAGGTTTCCACAGGAACAATGTATTTGAAGTATGTCTTTATAAATGTTTTAAGATATCCATTTTGATCATATGTTTGTTGCAGGCTTTCTCAACGTCATCAAAATATCTAGTCTCAGTTGGTTCCCAGCACGATATGATAGTGAATGTATGGGATTGGCGGGCCAACCTCAAACTTGCTAGCAATAAGGTAACTATTTAATGGCAGTCTTTATATCTGATGGATATCACTTACAGATTGCCTAGGTATATCTTTTACAATACACACTGCGTTTGTTTTATACCAATATGACGTTATGAAAACGGTATTCGTTAGTTTCGCGGATATAAAAAAAAATATATATTTTTTTAAATTTTGTGATTTAGATCAAAAGACTTATTTTGCTCACAATATTGTAAGATTTACTTAATTTATTTATTTATAAAAGTATTAAACTTGTTTTTCAGGTGTCATCTCGTGTGAAGGCAGTGTCTTTCTCAGAGAGTGGGAACTATTTCGTCACAGTTGGTTTTAGGCATGTCAAGTTCTGGTATTTGGAATACTCTAGAAATGCTAAGGTGAGATTGTTACTTTTTTTTTACTCAATAGAGTTTATTACTATTATTACTTGATAACCCAAAACCGTCTCTTCTATCAATAATTTATGATAATACTTATGAATTTTATCTGCAAAGGGATGTTTTTTTGCCAAAACATGTATATTTGAAAATCATTTTCCATGTAAAGAAATGTATATTGAATGGGTGGTTTACAGTTCAAGGAGCCGGTCCCACTGATGGGCAGGTCGGCGATACTGGGCGAGCAGAAGGACAACGAGTTCTGCGACGTGGTGTGCGGCCGCGGCGAACACAACGATACCACATACGCGATCACCAGGGGCGGGCTGCTCTGCGAGTTCAACTCCAGGCGGATGCTGGACAAGTGGGTGGAGCTCAGGGTGAGCGAACCACTCATTTATAGCTAATTATAATAGGACTATGGTTTTGAGTGTTAACTACAGACATGGGTGTACCTAGCATTTGAATCGTCATCACCAGCCTCTTTTTTCGTCCCCACTCCCATTGACGGTTATTGAGTTTATCTCAAGCTTTTCCGTTCTTCGGAAGGAACATTAAGCCGTCGATCCGAGCTGCATTTGCAATCGTTAATACCCTCCAATCCGCATTGGGCCAACGTGTTTGGTTATGGCCAACCCTCCTTAACCATCCATAAGGAAGGCCTGAACCGCTGCAGTGGGGACGTAAATATTTATCATTTCTTTCTAACTAAATGGAACATATGAGTAAATATTTTCAATTTATGTTACTACGACTATGTGTTAATAAATGATGTGACATCAATGTCATTTACCTACATCTTTATTTTCCTTTTGTTTAGACGTCTTCCGCAAACTGTATGGCCATCGGCGCCAATTATATATTTGTTGGTTGCGCCGAGGGTATAGTGAGATGCTTCGCGCCGGACTCGCTGCGGTACATCACTACTCTACCGCGTACGCACTATTTGGGTGTTGACGTTTCTCGGGGCACAGATATTAGGTAAGGAAACTAAAAGAAAAACTATTGGATAAATAATTATTGGTTAAACCGATAATTCACCGATGTCGCTTCCTTGAGAATAAAAGTAAAATTGTAACATACTCGAGGACCTCTGGTGTAAAGTGATTTGTAGACCGATTTTATTATGTCGTGTCGTAATATGTGACGGTTATATTCTCAATTAGGTCAGATGTGAACTTTTTTCGATACATTGATTATTCGTATTTATTTATCGATAAACCAATGATCATCCAATGTAATTAAGTCTTTAGTGTGGGATCTAAGCAGTGTATGTAATGTTGATTAATATTTATTTATTTTATTAAAGATTTTAGATGTATCCAACTTTTTTTATTTATAATATTTTTCACGAAATAGATATTAATCAAATTAAGTCAATCGTTTCTGTAAAAACATAATATCTAAATTTGATTGTGTAATATTTTTATAATAAGAGGGGGTATAAAGCCTCATCTTACTATAAAAATATCCTGCCCATCTCATTTCGCCATTGTTATTTGTTTAAAGCGACATTTGCTATACATATTTGGCATTCATTAGAGCTTAAAGGTGGCATTAAACCTTAATGGACGTTTGTGCATACGATCGAGAGACAGGATGGCGAATTGGTTTTTTATTATTGATAAATTGCAAACTATAATTATTAATGTAAAAGTGCTACAAAATTTCCGCAACTACAAAGTGATACGCACTTTGTCCTTTAGAGATATGATATAGTTTTTTATTTTGAATTACAGCTTATTTAGACGTTGTTTCTATATACAAAACTAGCTTTCCGCCAGCGGGTATAATACAAGACGGTACGAGCTACGCTCGTATGGTCTTGTATTATACATAAAAACCTTACTTTGGAACACCTTATCTATGAAAAAAAAATCGCATCAAAATCCGCTGCGTAGTTTTAAAGATTTAAGCATACATAGGGATATAAGAACAGAGAAAGCAACTTTGTTTTATACTATGTAGTGATAAGTTGAAGGTTAACCCGGTTTAATAAAAATAATATTTGCCCACTGTTTAGGCATATGTTCAGTCAGCCGTCTAACGCGCGGTATCCGGACGCTGTAGCGTTGACATACGACGAGAGGAATCACAAGCTGACCTGCGTGTACAACGATCATAGTCTCTACGTGTGGGACGTTAGAGATATAAAGAGGGTGAGATTATTAAACACGGCCGCTGAACAGAGAGAATTTCGGTCAATGACAAGGCAATACAGGCATATCTCATTCACTCGCGCGTAAACATATTGCTATTGCGCTCGCACAGGTGTATCTAACTAATTTTGTCATAGTAAAGTAAACTTAAAATCTAAAGGCACAAAGCTCTCTCTAACGCAGAAAATGACATCTGTATAGTGACTGGATTAAAATGAATACAGTAATAAGTAATACAAAGAATTTAAGTAAGTTACACAGGGAAATTTGTCAAACACCAGCAATCTTTGAAAAATAAAAACAATATACTTATTGAGTACTAATTTAACAATAACTCAATACTTCAAACAAAAACGATTTTCAAGATTTTATTGCACTGTTGTGACATTTATGTGTATTTATTATCTTTAAACTAACAAAGTATGCACATTTTAGATTAATTAGTATTTGCCCAGTAAATTAAATCCAAATTTATTTTTGCACAAAGGCAAAATGTAACTATTCATTTTGACAATACGTTTTCATTTTGGTAACTCAACTCTAGAAACTGCAAGATTGTTGATTCTTTTAAAACAAACCCTGTTTAAGCTTATGTTCATATGTGTTTATATTAAAAAAAAAAGTTAAAGCAACATATTGACAATTTTATCTTCTACGAAAACCACACGGAAGTTGAATTTTTATTAACAAAAAAAAAATATTTTGTCAACAGGTGGGCAAGTCCCATTCAGCATTATACCACTCGGCGTGCATATGGGGCGTGGACATGGTCACATCAGAAGGGCCATTACAGCCCGGCACGTTCCTGACTTGCTCCAGCGATGATACAGTGCGATTGTGGCATCTTAAACCACCGGCCGGACCTAACATTTATAGTAACGTGAGTAATGATCTATATTATTCATCATTTAATAACTTCTGTGCAGTACTAACGATGGAATAAAAGCGCAAACACTCTTGAAATATAAACTTTATTGCTTTGCGATAAGGTTAATTGGTTTAATATATCATATATCTAACGCATCGTATATGACACCCGTGCATCATCACGTGCACAGAAATTTGGGGTAGGGTATGCAGCATGTATATATTGGAGAAAAAAAGCTTACCAATATTTACCATAGTTTCAGTACCTAGGATGTTGATTTATGTTTGTAATAATTTGTATCAGAACGAACTTTTAGCTATTTTCAGCAAAGCTTTACTGTTAATCAGCAATAATAATAATGATAAATATTAGACGATATCACATACATTTCTCAGATCTCAAATTAAGAACGCTCGGCGCGAAAGCAAAACAAATTCTGCGACCTAATGGGTCGGGTAAAGACGGGGCATATTTGCAGATTTGGTGTTAGAAGCACTTAAAGAGTTCTAGCACTTAAAGAAGTTCTAGCACTTAAAGAAATTTAATGTTATTTGTTTACAGGAATTGAACAAAGTCCTGTATATAGACCCCGAGTTGAAATTCTTGAAGGATGTTGATCTGACGGCCACCAACGAGAAAGAAAAGACCAAATCTTATGACGACAAGACTGGAGTACGGTACGTACAGCATAGATGGAAAGCTCAGTTTCTGTTAATGCGAAAATCGATTTAGTACGATCATGTAATATCAATCAAAGTCATATAATCTTATGTTTTAACAGTGTAATTTTTCAGAAATATGATTGTCAGTGAATTAGTTAAATAATTTGTTTAAATTATATAGCAACCTTAAAAGATATTCTGTCGCGGACTTTAATACACAAAAATATTTTATCGTTTCGATCGAGTCTTTTTGAGATTATTACATTCGACAAACAAACTCTTCAGCTTTATATTGTTAAAGCGTTCGTTCCGAGTATTCGACGACGATTGGCTTGTACGACGGTTTCAAGGAAGGCCCTGGGTTCGATTCCTTGTCGGGTCAATGTAGAAAATGGACTCTTCTACATTGTCATGGATCTGGGTGTCGTGGTAACTTCATTGACTCACATACCATAGATCTTGGAATCTGAGTAATGTAAAGTAGGATTTATATAAATCGTTTGCACGTAAGGTGAAACGAAACACAATGAAAGCTAGGGAAGATAGATGACTTGCAAGACGACTGGAGTGTTTTGGTGTAGCAAATGGAGACGGATGTTCTAGAGCAAAAATAATTAAGAAGTTGGTAAAATAAAGGTGATGAGTTCCCAGAAATACGTCATTGAAGTTCAGCTAGAACTGCCTTATTGAGTTCCCAGAAATAGTGATTACAGTATCAACCACCCGCTACGTGTACGTGTTGTTAAGGCATAAAGACTAATTTTTGTTTGCTTGTCGGTCATTGAAGAATATTAAACAATTTATTTTTTATTTTTTCCGCAATCAATAAATTACGCCGATACATTGAGTTGAAATGTCGCATAATGTCATGCTTTTGTACATTTTCTACAAAACTGTGACGTAGCGAGCTCCACTCCGCAAATTGAATGCTTCTTATTTAAGCTATTTCTTGTTAAATTGAAGCAAACTACTTTGTTATAATGCGATAACAAACGGAAAGGATATTTTTTTAAAATAACCAAAAGTATTAATTAAATGAGAGGCATTACATATATTTATTATTAGTGAAATTATGTACTAATTGTGAAAATCATACTAGAAATTGCTATGTTATTCAATCATAACAAGCAACATCAAAACTTAACAATAACAATAGAAAACAACAAAAACGTAACAAAAATAGGTGTTATCTCAACACAATCCAAACCAATGAGATTACTCGTCAACTTTTTGTTAACGGCATTAACGACACTGATTTTTTAACGCAATTACGCGACTAAAATGGCGCCCAAGCGCATAAGCAATTTGCGGGAATTATATGTGTGATGTTGTCTCATAATTTTTAATCATAACGCGTGACATGCAGTTGCGTGCGCGTGTCGCCGGACGGCGGTCACGTGGCGTCCGGCGACCGGTCCGGCAACATCTGGGTGCACAGCGCGGCGGGCGCGCTGCTGCATACGCTCGAGGCGCACGACGCCGAGGTGCTGTGCCTCGAGTACGCCGCCCAGCCGGCCCTGCTCGCCTCCGCATCCAGGGACAGGCTCATACACGTGTTCCACGTGCACAAGGTCACTATATACTATACTCTGTTCCTGCAGTCGAGTTAGTAGAGAGCTTTCTCTGTCACACAATATCATACAAATGACAAAGACAAAAACACATCTTCAAGGGCAGTGGGCGTCAACGATATCTTAAAAAAGTAAACGAGCGTACATTCTGCGCTTACGCTTCCTGGATTGAATGAATTATTGTTATTGAATCAGCTTACAATTTGTCCGTGGGGCTGTCCTTTTATTTTTTTTACGTACTACAGAAAAAGAATTTTATGAGATCTTCAATAGTAAGTTAGTGGGAATTAAAGCAATAAAAGTCGGTAATGCATTATAAAATTCATTACTCTATCATAATAATTTACTCACTATCCGACGTTTCACGCTACCACTACTGTTTTATCTCAGTTTCAAAAACTTTCTACCATAACTTCTACATTTCTGTCCATATTATTAATTTTGGGCTCAATCTCTTTTCGAACATGTTTTATACAATTTTTCCAATATTGTGCGGTTACATTTTCAATTATTTTTTAATACATTTTTTAATTCTACCATTTTAAAAGTTTTCATTTTTGAAGCCAGGTCAAGTCCAAAAAGCACGCTAGGTAACAAGAGTCGTCGCACAAACAAACTAAAAAGTACTTGAAGTGTAAACACTGCCGTAGGGCTTATCATTGACCAATTACAGGCAAGGAGTTGTGGGAAAGAGATAGCGCTCTGCTAATTCGACTCCAGGAACAGAGTATAGCTTTTTCGCCAGCGGTTACGCCCGCGTGATTCCTAGGGAACTGTTTTTTGGATATTCATTCATATCATGACACGGATATAATTACAATGACATATTGAATAGTAAACAATTATTGCTATGGTAAAGTTTTAATTAGATACAAACTTGCACTCCGTAAGTGAAAGAATTTTTAAAATCGATCCAGTAGTTTTTGCCTATTCGTTGCAAACAAACAAACAATCAATTCTTTTCTCTATAAAATACTAGTATAGACTCCTCCTTAAAACCATCGATGCTCCCGTCACAAATATCAATGTTTTTCCGATGTTTTAATTAAATATGTTGGAAATAATAATGTAAACAATATCAGCGCTGATAACAAATTTTTTTGTGACTGACTGAACGACTAAATAGTTTATTCTTCACCCAGGTTTCATCCCTGCTATGTTATATTTTTTTGATTTTTATTTGTGATTTATAATTTATGGATTACAAGAATGCGGCGGCCATGGTGAAACATCCTGTGACTTCACATTTCAATAAACTACACGTCAATATCTTCGTTGCGAGTGCGATCAGTGCTTATGTTTATTGAAATGTGAAGACACGACTCAAACTATCTGTGACTGATTGTTTTCGCGCGCTTACAAAGATGTTTTGAATGTATGTTTTCTCTCCAGGGCTACCAAATTTTGCAGACTTTAGACGATCATTCGTCCTCCATAACAGCTGTGAGATTTCTCAATTCCGGTGGAGGTTTGCAGATGGTATCTTGCGGGGCCGACAAGACTATACTGTTTAGGCAACTTAGAACGGTATGTGTATCAAATTAGTATGAAAATATAAATATATTTGGGAAAAACAGATTTCTATTGAATCAAAACCTTAATATTAACTGTAACAAGCGATTGAACATTTATTTTTTTTGGGCCAATATTATTTCTATTGGCTGAGGAATAAAACAGGTTACAAATCGTAATCATTAGTATAATCATAATTTATTTTATGTATGATATTATAGATGCAAGATGGCAGTTACCAGTTCGCCAGAGGTCAAAACGTATCTGGTCGCAGTACGCTCTATGACATGGAAGTCGACGCGGGTGGCAGACATATATTAACAGCTTGTCAGGTACATTTAACTATAGGAAAATTTATTTATTTATTGGTATTTCTATTATGTATACTTATAGATAATGCTACTTCAATATAATTCCAATAAAAAAAAAAAAAGAAATTTGTAACCAATTTGAATCTCCAAAATGGTTTAACAAGATTAGTTTAAGACTAATAGTGTAATATTTATAAGAATTCACCATTCCTCTTAATATTGAATGATTTTAAACTTTAATTATCAGGGATAAGAGTTCTGAATCGGTTCCAGAAATTGTCATTTTGCGCATATTGTTATTCAATTTTTTAGACAGTAATAGGGGATCTGACAACTTTCCAAAAACTGCTGTACTGGTGCTTATTTCCTGAAAAAATATTATTTCATGTAAATAAACCTTGTTATGTACCCAAAAGTATGTTTAAAATTTAACTATTTAAAAATAATCGCGATAGCAGGGATGATTTTTAGTGAAAAAATAAATTGTCGTCAGCAGTACTACATTTACTATATTTTAACTCAAAAATAAATAAAACAGTAAACTGATTCTTGTAATCTGTGTAGTTTTATTACCAATTTACTAATTATATGACGTCACGCGCTCTGATTGGTGTTTCGTTTGACGTGAGATACGACGTGATATACAACAAATATTGGAAAAATATATTTTTGTTTATTGATTTAAAATAATTGTTATTTATCAGAAATATTCAGCGAATAATTTTAATATTTATTAACTTTTTTAGCACATACAATTAAATAGTAGATTGTAATAATCTATAAACAGTAAAATAGAGATAAATCTACGTTTTCAAATTGGCTATATGTACTTAATAACTGTTTTGCTTTTAAAACATGATTTAATTTATGATTATGTGTCTGAATAATCTGTTTCTCTTAGGATCGTAACGTGAGAGTATACAGTGCAGCGCATGGCAGACACACAAAAACCTTCAGGGGCACCACCGCTGAGGACGGAACCCTTATTAAGGTACCCCATGTTAACATAAAATAGCACCTTTCTGAACGTGTTTTATCTGAAAGTTGAATTAATTTGATCAAAGACTCTTAAATTGATAAGTTAATTTGATTTAATACTAACTACACACGATTGGATATTATATTAAGGACTAATCATGAATTAGGGCATGAAATGGAGTGGATAGGAATGGAAGAGGGATCGCGTATTGACGCATCCCTCTTCTATGTCGGAACTAGCGGAGGTGGTTGGTATCCTTCCTTGCATTGCACGGTTTCGTATGTCTGGGAGAGGCTCTCGACGTACCCGAGCCTCTCAATCCGCGAAGGGATCAATGATTGAATCTGGGGGTGAGTGTCCTGGCGACTAGGTCACGGCTTTCCGGGTCTCATCTCCCACGAGAAGGGTACACCGTAGAGGTATTGCCGAGTGGGTTCATGTAGGAGAGTCCCACACACCCCTTGTTGCTTGTCACTTAACAGGGATAGTACCAAAAGCATTTCCTCGATGATAAAAAAAAGGCATGAAATAGAAACACATCATCAGCCTATTAAAATCTTAATGGATCACAGGCCTTGCCTATATCATACCATAACGCACCACGCTAACCCAGTAGTGTGTTAATAATACAAATGCAGCTGGGTCATGTGGCTTAACATGTCTTCCGTAGCATGGCATACTTCGCGATCATATTTATTTTACCTGACCCATGCGATGACCAGCGCTACAACATAAAATTCGGTTATTGGTTCCAAAATTCCGGTACATTTTGTTATCTTTTAAAGTCACATTTTATTGATGCTAGTGTTCTATTGGTATTGTGTGTAATTCCATGGAGTTTGAACTAAATCATCCTATTGAAATACCTGGCATGAGGTTTTTATTTATAGCCTTAAATAACACTGTTCAGGTGGCGTTAGACAGTAGCGGAATCTACCTGGCCACATCGAGTACAGACAAGATTCTGAGCGTGTATGACTATTACTCCGGGGAGTGTATGGCCACAATGTATGGACATTCTGAAATAGTCACTGGTCTTAGGTAAGTAAAATAAGGTAGATAATATTTTATAAATCTATCGCCTTTATGAACCCTATATTATTATATTAGCAAAAGTGCGGAAGATAAGATTCAGATTTCAGTAGAAATTATGTGAATAACATGTTACGCTTTTAATTACTTTTGATAATTGAACCGTTTATTCGATTTCGTAGCATATATAAAATCATCGTAATGCTGAGTTTTTATGAGAATAATTATTTCTCCCAACACGATATGAAAAAAGAAGAAGAGTTGAATGTTATGGCCTAGTTTGATAGAGTTGAAATTTTACGTAAGTCCTTGCACATTATACCGACTCAACGCCAATCTAATATCCTTCGGCTTTGCCCGCGTAAATAATAACATATGTCACCCACGTATGATGTAGATGCAAACATTATTAACTTTTCGATGCAAATATCATATATGGGGCTTAGTGATGATAGTAAAGATAAATGTTGACGTACTAGTTAGAAGGTTCAGAATGATTTATTTTCGTTATTCCAATGGAAAGTTATCCATTAGAATATCTGCTCTATGGTATTGGGAGTATGTATTTGTTACAGGTTTACTCCAGACTGTCAGCATTTAATATCGGCATCAGGCGATGGATGCATATTCGTGTGGCGAGTACCACACGACATGGTGGTAACAATGAGAGCAAGACTTGCACAACAAGCCATACGTCAGGGCAAGTTAGTATCACAACACTAAAACATGTACATATACATTACACATTTAAACGCACAAATATCAAAAGTATGTCTATGTTTAGTTAAACCCTCTGAATAAATGAGTTTTCGTTCTTTTCGTACGCAGATAAAACTTAATAAATTTATGTTCGATTCACCCGCAAAACTTAAGTTAGATCAGTGATCGTGGCGATTCCAACGGCGAAATAATAAAGTTACTTAAACCGATTTTAACATTCATGAAAGTTTAATAGACATATTATTGACCTTATTGCTAACGACATCATTTTTAATTGTCAAGGAAAGTGTCTGCACCGACGAATGGTCTGTCAGGGTTGGACAGTGAGAGTGATTCCCATTTGGGTTCACCGCCGAGGGAATTGACCACAACATTCGGCACTCCGGTTGTCCCCGATTATACGTAAGTCACAATAGTACAAACAAACTGACAAATAAAAAAAATAACAAGGACAAGTCATGTACAGATCCTTGTTTTTAAAAGCAATTAATTTATGTTTCTATTCTTAAAAAAAAAAATTGATGATTGTAGACGATTTTATACGAATTTCACATTTTTACCTTTTTACAATGTTACTAGGAGCTGCGCTGTGCTTTACTAGTAACTTTCTATAGTTTTTTACAAAGCAATGAAATCAAATAATTTTATTCAAATAAACTTAATACCTATTCAGGACATCTTTTGTCCTGAAACTTACCAGCTCTAACAGAAATAAAGATATTTACAAAAACAATGTCTATGTGAAAGAAACATTTTTAAAAATTACACTGTGAATGCAAAATTGCTGAAAAAAATAAAAATCATGAGAATGAAATAAGAATCAAAATTAACCATATAAATTTATTGTATATCACAAAATACTGACCTTATAAGATAATGTTTGGTGTCAGGTTGCGTATAGGCAGATTACCGTCTTGGGCGAAGAAGAGTTTGGGTGATGACCTTATTGCCCCTGAGACACCAGCCCCGGAACCACCGGCGAGAGGAAAATGGGCAACGCGTATACACCCCGCTGCTGGTATGGATTTTTATATCTTACTCTTTACCCGTAATTTATAATTTCAGTTTATAAAAATCGTCGTCCTTTTATTTATGTTTATAATATTAAAATTATATAAAAACTATACGCAATGGGCGTCGAACGACTGATATAATTATGGATATGGTAGAATTCGTATCATCAGGCTGGCAGCTTCAGAGACAAACGAAAGTCTCTGCTGGGCTGACGTCAGTCGAGTAGCGTTTTTTGTTTATTTCTAGTTTTGATTCGATAATATGTGTTATTTTAGAGGCCAAATAGAATGGATGTCAACAATACATAACATAATGAAAGGAAAGGCTCCAAAAACTCTAAAGAAATATTGAATCATCCAACACCGACATTTTAGCGAAAATTCTACACCTGATAGAACCTCTTCCTATTTGATATTGAAGTTTGTTAAATATGGAAACAATATCACTTCAAACTAGGCTATGTATGACTATTTCCCTTTACTTTTAATTAAATACACTTTACTTATCAGGGTGTATTTATAGAAACTACTGATTTGATTCTACTGGATAATGAGATTTTTTTCGCTTCTGTTCATTCGTATTGTTAGTTAATTTTTCTTGCTTTCTCTAGTATATCTATATGAATAAAGAAATTAAGTATTATTTATATAAAATTTATGATTTTTTTTTCACAGAGAAACGCGATTCGGACGGATCAAAAGACAGCTCGTTGGATAGCGGGACGGACACGAGGTATATCGAGAAACGACGAGAGCAAACTGGCGTGAAACAAGTATGTATCTATTTAAATAAGCATGGCTATTGTGACTATGAACGGCGAAGAGCGAGAGAGGGAAAGCGCTTCAAGATATATCCTTCTCTCGTTTCAGCGCCAATTGATAGTACGGGCCCAGTTTTAATATTTTTTTGTCGTTTGTTGTCTCTTTATATATATTTATTTTTGTAAATATTTTTTGTGATTTAATAATTGTTTTGTTGTTGTCATTACTGTTTAATTTGTTATTACAAGATTAGTAGCTATTATAAAAATATTTAGATGAGCAATCTTCCATACAAGTTTGTACGCAATCCAAACAGTCTTTTTTTTCATTGCAAGGGATGGTCGACTAATTAGTCGATAGTAGTTTGTTAACGACCTTAGTCATATAATATATGTTCTATAAAATTTAATTTAATTTTGGTTCATATGGTGCAGTCAGCAGCGAATACTAATGTTGTTACTGTCGATTATAAATGTCGTTCAAATATCAACCTTATTCTATACAGTTGGAGTAGAAAATAATATTTGTTGCTGGCTGCAAATACTGGTGTTGGTTATTAAATGTAATGTCGAATTAATATTGCACCCAATATTTTTTTAATCATAGTGTTAAATACAATGTATTTTTTTGTAGTTGCAACACTTGTTTATTCACTAATATGTGCTGTCTAATCACTCACGACTTGGTGATGGTGTCTTTTTAAATATTTGTTTTGTTTATGTATGCATTTTATTTTGTATATAAAAGTTTTTTTTTTAAAGTCTGGTGAAAATTACTGTAAATGTGCAGTCATCGACGATAAATAAAAATGCTTCCCATCCATATATTTATTAAAGGTATATTTGAAGTAAAATTTATATAGTCAAAATAAAAAGTTTCTAGAACCAGCGAGAAATGATTTTGCTTTATTTTTTAGAATTTGTTTGTTTTATCTAAAGCAAATAATATACAGTACTGTTGACACACTTTCATCAGACTTAATTTCTTTTTCCAATATACTTCTCATAACCCTGCATCCGGTTGTGGTCTTTATTTTCATACGTGTAGAGGCCGAAATCGCTGAACTTGTCTCAGCTGCCACGTGTGGAAGCGCTATTCAGGCATTTTGATGCAACCATCAGGAAAACTTACGATATTTTGACGATATCGCCGAGGGCAGAAAAGGTTTTTCCTTTTTTTTTTGTTTAGCATTTTGTTGTCAATTGTTTGTTTATTTGTAGCATATGTTTGTTTGCTGGCTATCATTCTCATTTAATTCTTGGTTGGTTTTTACATTGATTAAAGTTCATCTATTTATTACATCTTTTATAAACGGTTGTGTATCAGTAAATTTGAAAGTTAATAGTATTTTTTAGCTGCCTGAACAAACTGTTTTTCAATTTAGGAAAGTTTTTACAAACATTTTTTCACCGTATTGCGTTTCTATATCACATATGGCTAGTGTAGATGTCGCATTTCATAATATGCTGTATCAATAGAATGCTATGGTAGTTTCTTGTACACATATAGATTTATTATTTCATTTCATGCGTCTGTACATTTGCTTAGTCTGTGAAACATTATATACCTAACCCATTGCGTGGATAATACCACCTGAATTTAGAAAAGTATGTGAAGGTTAGAGAATGATATTATATTTAGTACCTGGAGATATGTTTTACTATTAGCACTTGAATGATCGAATGATTTTCTTAAAGTTTTTCTACTTAAAAAGTCTAGATATGGTGGTGTTATCCTCTTTCTATTTATATACAGCAAATTTTAAGATAAGTTCACTTTGCTTATCGTCGCTTGTTATTTATATTTTAACTACATCTCATTACAGATTTTACACTTACTTTTCATGCTTAATCTTGTCTTGTCTTGCTGATTTACAATTTGTCTTGCTGTCTGCTTTGATTGTAATATAATGTAGTATAGATTACTGTATATTCAATAAAATATTTATTTTGAATGTCTCTTATTATAGGATTCCCAAATATAAACTAATTTCACAATATTCAAATAGTAATAATGTAGTTTATTTATTTGACTATCGTCATTCCTTTAGAGCAGGAAACCTAAACTATTTTGAGCAAAAGGCTTATTTTCTAAAACAAACAGATCCTATTTCCGATTTCGATTCCGATAGCTAAATTATTTATAAATATCCTGAAAAATGTTCTTAATGAAAAACGCTTAAAAGATTCACATTGTCCCTGGCACTCTGAGATGGGAATCGAACCCATGACCTTTTGCATTCCGGGCGACTGCTCTAACCACTGAGCTACCCTGGACCCGAATTTTCATCAATGTTCAGGCAATCTACCCAAACTATCAAATAGCAAATTATCAGTTATTCGTTTAATCGCTAACTTAAGTTTTAGAAAATACTTTCTAAACAATACATTAAAGAGTCTGTCTTAAGTTTGTCATATTATATGATATATTTAATAGTTAATCTTTAAAATAATTGTTAGCGTCCAAATTAATCAAAAACTTTTAAACTTGGTTCTGCAATTATACCACACGAAATGATTAGTTAGATAAAAACCAACAAATATAAATATTTTTTCATATATTGCCTTTGTGTTTTAGTGACTGGGTTTCAAACAACAAAACAATACAATTTTTTGCATTAGGAGACACGCAATGTGCTCGTTATTTAAATAAACTTAGTTTCTTTGAGTTTTTTTATTTTTATGCTATTTTGACTTATTTTTGTTTTGTTCATTCCGTTATTGTTTCCGTTAGGTTACAATGAATTTACCGAAACGATCGACTGAGAATCGAACGCGGCACCACACAGACGATTCGTCGCTCGGCAGTTTTAAATACGAGGTTTGTGTCGAACACGAAGAAGTATATGTATTATATAATATAAATATTTATGTCGGGTCTATGTAGAAAATGTACTGTACTGTATCTGGTCTGGATGTTGTTTTACTTTTGTTTTTCAGATTTCCATAATACAAGAGCTTTAGCTACATAATTTGGGACCTGAGCAATGTATGTGATGTTGTCTAATATATATTTATTTTATATCGAGCGATATATATGTTTACTGTTTTATTATTTTCATGTTATAAATATGCTTATATCTGCCTCGCCTTTGCCTGGCCTTGTATATAAACAAAATTTGCACAGTGTTACCTTCCAATAGTAAGTAATAATAGTAAGGTAATCAATGAAACATTTATCACATTTTCAAACTCGATGTATCGTGTCAAGGATCATTCTGGTAAGTCGATCGCACGAGTGCTACTAAAATGTATTATTATTATAGTCTGTTCTTAGGAGAAGCGAAAAATGGATAATGACACAAATATTGGTGAACATCGAAAGAAAATACTTAAATGATACGTGTCGCTATCCATAGAATTTGTATCGTTTTCGCGTATTTATTGTACGAGACGCTTTAGCCTAAGTTGATCACACCAGGGCGTACCTAGCATTAACCTAGTGGTGGAGCAAAAGAATATGAATTTCAAATGCTCATTAAATATTACTTTAATAATAATTTGCGAGTATTCTGGCAAAGATTATAGGTTAAATTTCAGTTTTACGCTTTTGTAACATATTAAATTTTATTTAATTAATAGATAGTTTGATATCGGTGATTAGCTACCCGATAGCGGTTGCGTTATGTGATTTAAAAATCGATAACGACCCATCACTACATCTGGGTGTTGTGTTTCGTTGTTTCAAATACTCTACATGATAGGTTTAGATACTTATCTTTGAATTCTACACTTTTAAGATACCCAAAGTGTTTTGTATACGAATTAAAATAAAAACAAAGTTTGTCTTGTCCATTTGTTGCCAGGACCAGGAGTCTACGGAACATGACGGCGACATTGAAGATATATCTGATGGCGAGAGGACGTCTTCTTCGGAGAGTAGAAATAGAACTACGTACTATCCTGGGAACAACGACGACGACACACCTGGGTAAGTATGATAAAGATTGAATCACAGATATAATACTACACCTAACACTAGGTATTTCGATTGTGCTTGTGCAGCAGTGCCTAGTGAGTATGATTGCGGAGATTAAGCGGCTTTCCCAATTTTGGTGTGAAAAACCGACCCGAGTTACTTCATGTTAAGGAAGGCGCGTTGATCCACCAATTGTCAGAATTAAAATCTAATGATACAGAGTAAACCCAGACAAAATGGGAAACTTAATACTTTTAAAATCGCTGGTGTACTTCACGTTGTTTTTATTTCGTGTTAAAATTTAGAATTGCTTTTAATCCAACTGTAAACGGTTTTTAATTAATGTGTCAGGGAGTTCATGGTGAACGCTATGGATGCTGAAGAGCTGAGACAGTCGATGCGTCGTTCGAAGCGATGGAAGAACGACGGGCCGAGACTCGAGATTCCGGCCAGCGGGACCGCAACCTCGCTGAGTGGTTCCGGACACGATTCCGATGATGATGAGGTGAGCATCAGATGGCGTCTTCAAATTAGATTCGTTTATATCGTATCAAACTGAGTTTTCAATTCTAAATTAAGTCAGATTAAGATGTTTATGAAAATAAAGAATCAAAATATATAAAATTAACCCCATCTGTTGACAGCTAAAACTAATTAATTCATTCTCATCAGTTTTTGCTGACAATCCACTTAAAGAGAGCGTTTGCACGTTCAGACCGTTTACGTCGTTAGTACACCGACCTAACGAACCTACGCGAAACGAGTTGTCATCTCTTGAGAAACAAAATTCGTTACATTCGGTTAGTAATCAGAAATAGGGACGGGTGGCAATCCTGAATGCAAAACATATGCGTCTGCGTAACGACGTTTTCGCAGTTGACTGCGAAACCGTAATTACAAGGACGCAGCTAAATCATCAAGCTAATAATAGAGCGAGAGAAAGTACATGCGAAATTTTCCATACAACTGACAAGATTTCACAAATGATTCGCATGTGATTGCGTCGGTGTACTAACGGCGTTAGTCGTGCGAACATAGCGCTGTAACCGCTCAGCTGTAACATATATGTGTAAAAGTAAATTAAAAACTCTATATGTAAAAGTAGTTTTAACGGACGTCTTTTTCTATTGGTGCAGCTACTCTCCCCGCAGGTGTCGACACCGTCCGGCGATAATGCGGACCGAAATCCGCTGTCCGGCTCGTGCGAGTCCATCGACACGGCCGGCCGCCGGGAGCATTACCTCAAGTCCGCATTTGACTCCTTGTGCGCCGCCGATATAGATAATAGTACAGTTACGACGGGTGAGAATTTATATAACCTAGAGAAAGATGGGGCACAGTGTTACGAAAAAAACAAACGACAAGATGGCGACGAAAATATTGATGATTGAATCAACTTTTAACCCGCTTGGATATATATAAACTATGACAATCTCTCTTTACTTAGAATTATTAATACATGACTATTGTTGCCTACAAGCTAATTTAAGTTGCAAGTTAATAAAGTAAGTCTCAGTGGCTCAGTGGTTATAGCAGTCGTCCGGATTGCAAAAGGTCGTGGGTTCGAGTCTCATCTCCAAGTGCCAGGGTCAAAGTGGATCTGTAGATATCTGGTCACGTTTGATTTATAACAGTATTATCTAATTAAGGCTTGTTATTATTATATTAAATATATTAGGTCCCAAGAAGATAATAAATTTACAAAATGCAATTATTTTGGACATTGTATTGTGTATTTTGATAATGTCAAATGCATTAATTTGAAATATAATGCTAAAAGTACCTTTATATAACATGACAATTCGATTGCTCTATTCCCAGGTCACAATTCACTTTCATCTCAGCACTTATCACGTGGTCCAGCGAGAAATGCCCCATCTCCTGCGCCCCGTACCCCCTCCAAAACTCCACTAGACCCCGAAGCCGCCAGGAGAAGAGAGGAACTCAACCGTAGAATCTTAGAGACGAGGAAACAGCTGGAGAATGTAAGTAAAAACTCGACCTTCTATTTTATTCCATGTAAGATTATCAAACGTCCCATTTCCTATCATTACTGTGCTCCCTCTCCTCCTCCTCCTCCCTACCTTCCTTATAATTATAAATCCCTTCGCTATTTTACCAAAGAGTAATGTAATTACGTCTTGATGGCGTAGTCTAGGACGAAGGAATCAATCAACTATACAGCCATGATTTTGAAAATATGCTGCTGTTTGTGACATCACTATCAAATCCTTTTTTGCTTTTTTCTGTTGTATATTTATGTACTCGTGTCAAAGAAATGTTTTTATTATTATTAATTACGTCCGATATAGATACACTATTATCTTAGAATCAAATTATTTGTGACGTTCTCTACAATATTTTTTTTCAGGTTGCTTTTCGTTCCAATCTGAAGTCGTCTCAATCGACGCATGATCTTTCTTATATACCTGAGAAAGATACATCGCGAAGGGGACGCCCCATTTCGATGGCAGTGCCGAGTAATAGCAGACCCTATGGTGAGTGCTGTAAGATTTAAAATATATGTAATGTTTGTTGATGTAGACTTTAATGGAGTAACGTTATTATTCCATTTCGAGGTATTTACACCGCAATAAACATTTGCACTATACTTTTTCATGGGCAGTGATAAATACGGCCCTCATTATTGTAGTTATCAAAACAAGTTGTGCAAATATTATGTGTAAAAAATAAAAAGTCTACATTTCTAAACTATTCGAGTTTGTTAAACGTAGTCACATCATTGTGATCTGCATTTTAACTGTTAGGCAAATGTTGACGTTGTCGATTTGAAAAAAAAAAATCTAATGCCAAAACGGTAGGTAAATAAGTTTTGGAACGAAAAGTGTGATACCATAATTATTGATATCTACTATGAAAAATATTTGCTTATTACGACATTCGACTTAATTCATGTCATTACAACGTAAATATTAATTATTGCTTTTCATTTTATATATTGAATAAAGTTTACGAACAATAAGATGAAAGGTTTTTTATATTCGCGACATCAAGTTCACATATAACGCTATACTAACATTACCGATTTTCCCTTCACGCTAACAAGGAGTAAAACCCTGTCCAGAAGAGAACTTGGACAGTTTAAATTCCAATTTCTTCGACAGCCTCAATCCTTACCAAAATTTGGACTATCGCAACAAGAACCCTTATGCCATACCCGCAAATTTAAACAAATTAATACCACAGTATAATGAAAATACGCCGCCTTACGTACCGCCTCATGCTAATATACCAATACCACAAAACGATAAACGACCAATGAATTTTACACCGTACGGAACTAAACCCATGGTCTTCAAAGACCAGCTACCACAGAAACAATCTCTTGCTTTTACTATAGATATGGGAAATAAGCCCGTCCAATCTAAAGTCTTTAACCGATTATTTCCGAAAGTGGAAGAAAAAGAAACGCCCAAATTACCTCCTAGGAATTTCCATTTAAGTCTGAATAAAGATGAAAAACCGCAGACGAAGCCGAAACCAAATTCTAGAAGCATTTTTAAGAATTATAAATCTTGTCCAGTATCACCTGTATCCGAAGAATGCAAATGGGCTGATAAAGTAGCTCAAAATAATGAAAATCAGAATAATAATAAAAATCAACGCTCATTAGATGCAAAAAAGAGAAACTCTCTTTCCTTTTTTATTGGTTTAGACAATAAACCTATGAAAGATAATGGTAAAAGTATAGTAGATACCATTAAAAGTGATACGGAAAAAATGATTGCTGAAATTACAAAAAAATATGGAGACTTGGATGAGTATGAGCCGGATTCTCAAAAGGATCTAGATTTACATCCAACTAAAGAAGTCGAAGAAAAAGAAGATGGCAATTTCTCTTCTGACTCTCTAGAAGACTGCAGTTTGAGTCAGGATGCAAGTTGCAAGAACAAATTGTATTCTAAAAAAGTGTGTAAGAAACACAATAAAATAAAACCACGTAGAGCGGTATCTAACTACGAAATATATGCAACAGAAAAGCCTTTAGTGCCAGCTAAACCTTCTTACATAAGCCAAAAGAGTTCCACTTTACCTCGTAACATGCCTTCTAACCTAGAAGATATTATAGACGAAGACAATTCCTTGAATTATAACTATGCCAATATGTATAGATGTCAAAGTGTTCTAACAAAAAGATGCGTTACTAGATCTAATGAATCAGTATTAAGCGATAACTCAAACTGTTCTAGTGTTTCAAATGAAATCTTTCTTAAATACGGCAACGAAGTTGCGTTTCAGCAAGCAAAATTCTGTGACAGCAGATATAATTTAAATGATTCTCAAAATTGCTCTTTTGAAAACATTAATGAGACAGACTATTTAGAAAATCATAGGCACAGCAGCGCTAGTTTCTTTCTTAATCAAAAGAAGTATATGAAAAGTAGCTGTAGTCAGGAATCTGTCCTGTCGGATGAAATGTTTCTCGATAACGATAACCAATTGTCTAGGACAAATTGCAATTCTTTAGAAAGCGTTTTATCTGACGACTCAGAATGCACTAAAAGCGCTCCTTTAGAAATGCTATTTGAAGGTACGCGACCTAAAAAACAACAGAAGCAATGTAATATTCCAAGGAATAGCAAAAGTTGTTATGAATTTGATAATACATCCAAAAGTTACGGATCTAGTCCCAACAATGTTCCTTATTTTCATGGTTATATGTATAATAATTATTTGGAAGGGACAAGTCCTAATTATAAAGACCAACCTCTTAGTGTGAGTCCAAAACCTGTTGCTACTAAAATATATGGATTTGACCTACCGACGCCGGAGTATTGTGGTCACAAAACTGTGACTAGGTCCAAAAGCCTCTACGATTCGTCATCAAAACAGGATCCACCTCCAGCAAAGAATATTGCGTACTATTTCGACGGAAATAATGTACAGCAGTATTCCAAGGAGAAGAAAGTTTCGGATGAAATTCCTAGACTTAATACAGGTTATATGGCTAAGACTAGTAAATCACTTCAACCTAAATTTGTGGAAAAACACAAATATAAAAGTACAATGGAAGGCTGTGAACAAAATGCCATGCTTAAATCAAAAAGTTGCAGTTTTGAAGTAGTTTTAGAACCAGCATCTAAACCTAACCCTTTGAAGAACTTAATAGAAAAGCGAAATTCGCATGTTCGAAAGAATTTAGAGAAATTTGAGGAGCAAATACGTAAAAATGCTCAGACTAAAATTAGCAAGAATCAGCAGAATAAAGAAAAGTCTAATGGGGCTAAATATAATAATACAACAAAGAGTTTAGAAAGAGGATCTCAAAAAAGTAACAACATTAAAATAACGATGGAGTTTGTGCCCCATAAACCACCAAAACCAATGAAAAGAACTTCGTCTGTTAAAATTAATAACAGACAGAAAGCAGGCATTGATAAAAGTGGTTTGAGTCCTTCCATATCATCGCAGTATAAAGCCAAATTAGACGGTTTACAGAATAAAAATTATTTAGCTAATAAAAGACAAGAAGATTCGAATTATAATAAATTTGACTCAACGGATGGTTCTGAAAAGACTTTTCATGTATTTGTTAAAGAAAAGGATATCAATGACAACAAATCTGAAATGCAAATGGATAGTTTAGAAGTGTTTGCAATGCAACGCATGGAAAGAATGAAAGAGGTTAGTATGGACTCTTTGGATGTTATAGAAAGTAACAATGACTTTGCTAGAGATTCTTTAGATTATTATGCTGAACAAGATAATAAATTAGCCCATGTCAAGCTAAGCAAAGACCAGAGCAATACTAAAATTGCATCAAATGACAAAGAAACGCCGGTTGCTTGTCATAGTCGCCAAGATGCAGAAGCAAAAGAGAACATAGCACCCGAAGAGAACATAGATTTAGAGAAATATCGATACATTGAAAGAAAAATTGAAATCATTAATAAATTAGTGGAAATGGAGGAAAGGAAGATATTGCAAGAGAAAATTTTAAAGGAATGGCGTATGAGACCCCTCAAAGCTAATATTAATGACGGAAAAGGTGTCGTCAAAGTTTTGTCTCGAAAATTCGAGAAGTTAGCCACGAAACAAACTACTGTCCCAAATTTTGCATCTTTGACATTAGAAGAAGCGGACACTGACACAGAAACGAATTCCGAAAACAAAGAAATCAAACGAAACTTGAGTCTTCCTGATATTTTAGATTCTGATCAAATTGGAGGCTTAGTAACAGTCGATAGCATTGAAGTTACAAATGATGCTGGCAATGATATTGTTCTACAGGAAGAAACTGAGGTGAAGTTGAATAATATGATAAAAAAAGAGGCTTGTAACCCTCCGAAGTTACAACAGAGAGTTTATAATGAAATGGTCATACCAAAAACAGACGTGCATTTAGATAGTGAAAACTATGAGTCTTCCACGACAAGTTCTAGTTGTACTAATTCGCCAAAAAGGATGTCTATATATGGTTTCAATCGGCCAAAAGTTCCATTTCGAAAAATCATCCGAGGTCCAACTCCTAGATTGTGCATGGAAAATCGTATATGTGAATCATCTACTAGTAAAATAAGACCAGTTATTTACACAGGGTGTCTCGTAAGAGGTTCTTGTTTAGCGAAAAGAGTGCCAATACAAATACCAGTGCTGCCATCAAAATTTTCTCCGCAAGGTTGGCAACGCATGCTTAGAAGAATAGCTGTCGTGTCAGTCTCTTTAGTTGCGCTTAAAACAATATTGGCATTGTTATATTTTAAAATGTTGATTAATTATTGTTAAGGTTCAGTTTTAGATACCTTTTACTATTACGATTTTGCTTACATCGTGAATATTTTGTGATTACTTGTGTGAGACCTAAATTATTGATATTGCCAATATTCATCGATAGTAGCACTGCTGGTCTTCACAATCCATCACAAATCATAGCTTTTTAAACTAGCATGTTTTTCTATTATTGTCACGAAATATGTATTTTTATTTATTTTGCATGTGTTTAAATGTTTTTGATGTGCTTTGTGTAATGCCTCTGCATTAAACTAAACGTATGAGTAAACCACGACTTTTTAAAATTCTCGGTTCTTAAAACCTTATATAAATTATCGATTATTATGACACCAATCTAGTTCCTGTAACATATATACGAGCTTACCACAATAGACGTCACGGTTAGAATTGTAGTACAGTTATTTTTTCTACAATATGATATACTACCTAAAGTTTCTTTTATCTCTGTAAAATTTAGGTACCTAATTAGTGTTACGAAATTTATTTTCACTATTAATAAAATCCATACGTTTAGTAGTCGTACTCCTAGCATGCTAACGGTTAATATTATCAGCGAATCGCCATGCGTCGGACCAGGAGGAAGAATCGACGGGCATGCGTCGTGCCATCTCCCTGTCAGACCTCGCCAAGCCAATGCCGGCGCCTCGGACGCCGCAAGGTATAAGATTGGGACCGCTATTCTTTACACATTTCAATTAAAATTATGGTGGAGGTTTATAATATGAAAGAAATAATTGGACAGTGTACTAAATTCTTATAATCTCCAAAAACTTAAATAAACGGTGATGGTCTGTATATTAGTAGTCAATTAATTCCACTAGTCATGGTTTGTTTAAAATTAACTTTCCTCAATAATCATAGCAATAATCTGAAGAATGCTATTAAAATACTAATTGGGACGACTTTTATACTATTTTAATGCTTCGTTCTATGCGTAGCAAACTCTTTCTACTTCTATAATGGTCCACAAGTTTAATTAAAAGGGGTTAAAATGTTGCAATTGATTATCACGTGAAAACTAGATTATGGTGATTGGATC